AAGCAGACTGAGTAATTCCTAACTCAGTCTGCGAAGCCAGCATTACCCTAATACCAAAGCCAAAAACATGGCAAGAAACAAAACTACAGATCAGTATTTCTTATGAACTCAGATGTAAAAATCCTGAACAAAACTTTAGCAAATTAAATCCCACAATATATAAAAATAATAATACACCACAACCAAGTAGAAAGGTATTTTGTGGATATCAACAAACTGATTCAAAAGTTTATATGCAAAGGCAAACGCCCCAGAATAGCCAACACAATATTGAAGGAGAACAAAGGTGGAGGACTGACACTACTCAACTTTAAAATTCACTGTAAAGCTACAGAATCAAAACAGTGTGGTATTGGAGAAAGAACAAACAGATCAATGGAACAGAACAGAGAACCAGAAATAGACCCAAATATAGCCAACTGAATCTTTTACAAAGGAGCACAGGTAGTATGATGAGAAAAAGTCTTTTAACAATAGATGTTTAAACAAATGGACATCTACATGCAAAAAAATGAATCTAGACACAGATCTTACACCCTTCACAAAAATTAACTCAAAATGGATCACAGGCCTCAATGTAAAATGCAAAGCTATAAAACTCCTAGAAGATACAGTATAGGGGAAAATCTAGATGACCTCGGGTTTGGTGATAACTTTTTAGATGCAACCCCAAAAGCATAATGTGTGACATAAATGACTGAGAAGCTGGACTTCATTAAAATAAAAACTTCTACTCTGTGAAAGACACTGTCAAGAGAATGCGAAGACAAACCACAGACTAGGAGAAAATATTTGCAAATGACATATCCAAAGATATCAGTTAGGCAAAATATTCAAAGAGCCCTTCAAACTTAGTAAAAACACAAGCAATCCAATTTTAAAATGGGCCAAAGAAGATAAACAGATGACAAATAAGCATATGGAAAGATACTCCACATCATATGTCATCAGGAAAATGTAAAATAAAATGAAAGAGTCTTCCACTGGAAAGAAGCTTCCTGAAGTAGGGGAGAAGTTCAAAAAAGATTGTGGGAGAAAGACTCCTTCCTTTTGGTCTGGTAGCAGCCAGCCATGAGGAGGAGTCTCAAAAGGCTCAGTTATATAGTTTTCAGAAAACATTTGTAGCAGACTCACAACTGCAAGACTTAAATTTCTTTCTATTCAAAAAAGTTTGGGAGGAGGGTATAGCTCAGCGGTAGAGCGCATGCTTAACATGCACAATGTCCTGGGTTCAATCCCCAGTACCTCCATTAAAATAAATATAAATAAATAACCTAATAACCTCCCCCCACCCCAAAATTTTAAAAGTCTTAAACCACATATTCTGACTATGTATAGCGGTTGTTCAACCGAAGGAATAAGTGTCTACTAATTTTTTAATTAAGCAAATAGTGAGAAACCACTACATACCTATTAAAATGGCCAAAATCCAAAACACTGACAGCACCTAATGCAGGAAAGATCATGGAGCAACAGAAACTCTTATTCACTGATGGCAGAAATGCAAAATCGTACAGCCACTTTGGTACAGTTTGGCAGTTTCTTACAAAATTAAACATAACTCTTACTGTATGATCCAATAATCACACTCCTTGGTATTTACACAGAGGATCTGAAAACTGATGTCCACGCAAAAACCTGCACATGGATGTTTACAGGAGTTTTATTCTTTTTTTTAAATAGGTAATCTGAGTTTTATTTTTCTGAGATACAACTGACATATAACATTGTGTAAGTTTAAGGTGCACAATGTGTGGGTTTTTTGTCTTTTTTTGAGGTATAGTTGATACAGGAGCTTTTATTCTTTTTTTTTTTAATTGAATTATAGTTGATTTACAATGTTGTCTTTCTGGTGTATAGCAAAGTGATTCACTTTGAATATATATATTCTTTTTCAAATTCTTTTCCATTATAGGTCATTACAGCATACTGAATATAGTTCCCTACGTGATACAGTAGGGCCTCATTGTTTTATCTGTTTTACATATAATAGTTTGTATCTGCTAATCCCAAACAGCTAATTTACCCCTCCCTCACGCTATCTCCCCTTTGGAAATCATAAGTTTATTTTTCATGTCTGTGAGTCTGTTTATGTTCTGTAAATAAGTTCATTTGCGTTATACAGTATCTGTCTTTCTCTTCCTGACTTACTTCACTTAATATGATAATCTCTAGGTCTATCCATGTTGCTGCAAATGGCATTACTTCACTCTTTTTATGGCTGAGTAGTATTCCATTGTGTGGAATATATATATTCCATATATATATACACACACACACACACACCACATCTTCATCCATTCATCTGTCAATGAACACTTAGGTTGCTTCCATGTCTTGACTATTGTAAATAGTGCTGCTATGAACACAGGGGTGCATGTATATTTCCAAATTAGAGTTTTCTCTGGATATATGCCCAGGAATGAAATTGCTGGATCATACGGCAACTCTATTTTTAGTTTTTTAAGGAACCGCCATACTATTTTCCATAGTGGCTGTACCAATTCACATTCCCACCAAAGTATAGGAGGGTTCCCTTTCTTGCACACCCTCCAGGAGCTTTATACTTATTTGCCAAAACTTTATTCAAATTATGCCAAAACATAATTGCCAAAACTATTCAAAATTGCAAGATGTTCAGTATGTGAATGAATAAACTGTGGTACATCCAAACAATGAACTATTTATTCAGCATTAAAATGAAATGAACTATCAAGTCATGAAAAGATAAAGAACAAATCTAAATGCATATTACTAAATGAAAGAAGCCAATCTGAAAAGGCTTATACTGTGTGATTCCAACTATGTGACACTCTGGAAAAAGCAAAGCTATGGAACAGTAAAAATATCAGTGGTTGTCAGGGGCTGGGGCAGGGAAGAATGAACCAGTGGAGCACAGAGGATGAGAGCAGTGAAACTACTATGTATGGTACTACAACAGAGGTACCATACTTCTGTCCAAACGTGAAGAATGTACACTATCAAGAGTGAACCCTAATGTAAACTATGGACTCTGGGTGATAATGATGTGTCAATGTAGGTTCATCAGTTGTAACAAATGTACTACTGTGGTGTGGGATGCTGATAATGGGGGAGGCTATGCCTCTGGGGTCAGGGCATTTATGGGAAATCTCTGTACCTTCTGCTCAATTTTGCTGTGAACCTAAAACTGCTCTAAAAAAAAATAATCTATTCCAGAAAAAGCAAAAAGTATTGTACTGAGGATGTCATTTTCAGTAAAGTGCTTTATAAAATAATATTCCCATGGTATCCAACAAGGATCATGACTATCTTCATCTGTGGGCAAAGGGAGAGGAAAGGTAGGGCTGACAAACTGCCCTTCCCTAAGAGGGCTTCCCTCAGAGGAAGCACTGGTGCACAGTCCCTCTGGGTTAAGAAGCAAGTCCTAAAGAAGGCTGTGCTCCAATCCCACAGTGACTACTAACTCCAAACACATACAAGCCCCCTTTCCCCATTCTGCTCAGAAACCCATTTCTTGGGATTATGAATTATCTCTGAGCTATAGTAAAATTCATGCTTAGCCAGCTAGAACATTCCACCAGAGACAGAGATCAAGAGAGCTCACACAATGGATTGTAAAGTGAGTCTGTTTTAGCTTGATGATCCCAAGTGACAGAGAACTCAAGGATTCAATTTAGAGAACAAAGCACAGGTTCTTAACCTATGAAGCCCAACAGTGGAACACATACCTAAATCTCAAACTGGCGCAACAAAACGCCCTTGCTTAGTTAGTACTAAGCCCTATCAGAAAGTGGCCCATAGTATTACACTTGCATCAGGAAAAAAAAAAAACCACTTTAAAATTACCACTTTCAAAATGTTTGCTCTCACAAATTATTCTCAATCTTAAGTACAAGCTGCTTGGGAAGGATGCTATTCCATTAGCCCTAAGCACTAGCATGATTCACCAAAGAGTAGCTGAGGGATGAGAATCAGACAGTGATGGCAGAGCAAACAGAAGAAAGTGCGCCTCCTCTTGTCTTATGGTGGCCCCTGCTCTCACCCAGAACGCCTCTGTGCCCTTAAGAACGCCTCTGTGCCCTTAAAGAGGAGACAAAGCACCAAGACTAAGCAATACCATAGCAAAGGAAAGAAACAGAACTGAATCCAAGATCTGGAAAAAGGACACATTATCTGCTTTATTATCTGCAACAAGAAAGTAAAAAACCCAGTCATTCATTTTCAATTTTACATTACTCAGCAATTAATATTTCTCAGATTTGTCTGAAGAATCAGGCTAAGGGTATATGCTTGGAAAGAGAATGTAATGTGAGCCTAGTAGGCAGTAAAGATCTGCTGAAACTCGTAAGTTTGAGAAACACTTCATAACTGACATCAACTGACACACCACACAGGTCAGCACCTAGCATAACATGATCGTAAATTAAACTTCCCTATGAGAAAGGAAAAGCTAAGACTGGGACATTGATACCATCTACTCACCTTTTATAAATGTTTAATTTCTCAAAAGCATCAATATCTTCCCTGTATCTATAAACTCATTCTATTGTTCTAAAAATAGATTATGCCATAAAAGCGAGAAAATGCAAACCAGAACTTTAAAAGGTTAAGCCATTTCTATGACCTATCCCAGCAGAGTGACTTCTCTGTTTTGTATTGACATTGGGAAAATGGCAGTCCGCTTATCCAGAAGCCAGACAGGGCACTGATACTGAGGGCGAGTTAAAGGAAATCTCTAAAACAAAATCAGAGATTGCTGAACTGCAAATCAATCTATAAATGGAACTCAAGGACCATCAGGTACTGGTTAAAAGTTTTGTAATAACAAGATCTGCTTCCTTCTGAGTTTTAGTCATCAAGGGCCTTCAAAATATGCCAAATGGTAGCAAACACCCCTACAGCAAAAACTTAAACAAACAAACAAACAAACAAATAAAAAAAACCTGATAGCAAAAAGCAGAAGAGCATAATCTCTATAAAGCATTATTTAGAAGGAAGAAATTTCAAAGACCACTGACCTGGTCCTCCTCTTCATCTTCATCCTCTGCCAGACGCTGCCTGCCCACTTCATACAGCCTGCATACTGTGTCCATGTTCAGAGAATCTATGCTGCCTTGGTTCTGAAATAGAACACCCAGTCCACAAGGGGCAGTTAGTTTTCAGAAGGCCCACATCCATGCCTCAACTATGCCTGGCACTCACATACCATGACCCTGTAACTATCAAAGCTTCTGATAACCAAAATTCTTGAACTGACTCTAAAAATGTTACACCTAGGATACAAAGAGGAAAAGAAAAACAGAATGAGAAGGCTTGGGCAGAGAAGGATAAAAGAGACCACCATCCCTGGAGCAAACCTGTTGCAAAGATGCTCTGGCGAGAGATCCAGACTCCTCTAAAATAAAGGAATGACAGTGTGAGTCCAGGATAATAGGAGATGGAACTCTCTATGCTGGAAAATACTGGGATTTTCCTACTACTTCTCTTATACAATATATCTGTCCATGAAATGAGTGGGTTATCAATAATCTACCATCAGGAATGCATCAACTTGAGAACACATCTTCTATCAGACAATACCTGGATTACAAATTGGAAATGATCTTAAACATCACAATAGAACAGCAGGGTTTCTGCTAACTCCCTTTACCTCAATGACAGCAAGATAACAGTCTTTGGTGTCTGTGCATAGGTCAAAGATGTTCCGTTTCACATCAATGGTCGCTGGAAAACAGAATGTGACAAGACTCGGGATTGGACTACTGCTGTGATCTTAAAACCAGCTTTTCTGTTAGAGGAATTCAAGTTGATTGTTCATAAACATTTCCATAACTCCTCTGCTTTTCAGTGAAAAATTATAATCCTCTCAGAAAATGGAGGATCTTAGAAAAGGAGCACCAATACATGGCAAAATGACCAATGTCTGCCCCTTCATGCTTACCTATAGGTTTGTAGTCAGTTGCATTAAATGTTCGGAAGGATGACCCAAAAGGGCTTTTCATCCTCTCTTCCATTAAGTCTTCTTCATCATCTGCCTGCAGCATAGCTAGTTGGGAGGAAAAGGGGAAATGGGGCAGGGGAACAAAACACTATTAGAATCAGAAACATCCCCCATTCACAACTGTAGATACTAATTTTCACTGAAATCTTGAGACTTCAGTGAGTTTCCCTGTAGTAAATTCACTCTGCATCTAGTTAGTTCCTCTCAAAGCATCCTCTCCTTGCAAATCCAAACAATATCCTGAACCTCCTGCAACAGTTAAAGCTGAAAGCTTACAAAATCCCAAGACAAAAAATGCAAAGGTTTTTCTTTACATTCATAATGATAACATATGGGAAATCACTGCATGAAATTTCTCTGTATACAAGATTTACTTGTTATCTTCAAAGCCAGTCACCTTGCACCCTAAATCAACATTGTTTTCATCAACAAATTTTGTTATCATTTATGCTATTATCTTGAGAGACTTCTTAATAGGAAGTATCCAATTAAGTGAGGGGAGAGGAGAGAAGAAAGAGAAAATCATGAAAAATAAAACGTTTATTACCTCCATACATCACTGTCCCCGTGTGGTTGAACACCACACGACACTGATCCAGTGCAGGAACTGTGTGTAAAAGATGGAAAGTACGAAGGTCCCACTAGGAGGGGAGTGGTCAAGGAAAACTATTTTACCCAAAACTTCTTATCTAACCTCTTGGAGGAAATTCTGAAACACCACTTTTCTCCTCCTTCTTATTAATGATTTATAAGTCAATGAGATCAAGGTAAAACGATATCCTCACATACATGAAAGCCACATGAGTTCCCCTTCTCTTATCAGCAGTGCTTCATTTCACTCTTATGTATAGCAATCGATTTCTATAGAGTAAAAGCAAAATTCTTCTGAAGATAGATAAAACTCAATTTGATACTTGGGGAAGTGGGAGGCAGAAATCTGGTCATTCTTCCCAACATAAAGAAAACATGCTAGTAAGAATCATCAATAATTACCAAAATCAACAAGAATCCACTGGAGATTCAATGACACTTGAAACCAAAGGAGAGGCACCAGGTTATTACCTCTGTGGTTACTTCAACTAGGTATTGGTAGAAAGATAAATTATTTCTGCATTACAAACTAGATAACAAATGGAAAGTGAGACATGGGTGTAAAGGATACAATCTCAGTATTAATGATGACCTCCAGCCCATTCGGATGGAAAACTCCACTGATGTTCATGTTGAACTTGTCAAACTTGTGGATGGCCTGCGCAGAGCGGACATCCCAAAGGACGCCATCATTTAAGACAAGATCATCTGTAGGATTAAAGGTGGCACAGTTCCTCTTGTAGTTGTTGGCAAGATCTGGGTTAAACAGAGTCAACAGCTTGTTGCCAGTCTGAATATCATAAATCTTTAGAGAAGAAGGGGTGGGAAGAGAAAAGTCAGACCAATCCATCCGTTGACAAATTCAAACAGAAGCTGTGTTAAGTATCTTTCCCACACTTTCCAAATCCCATCAAAATTATAAAAGCCCTAATACTGGAAAATAACTGGAAAGTAGGAAGGCCACACACATCCAAGCAAAGTTTATGTGCTGTGCTTTCCATTCAGGGTTTGAAAAGTCTCTTTCCCACAAGTAAGAAAATGAGAAGCTAAGACTGTAACAGGGATAAGAAAATCCTCTTCTTCCCAGTCCCCCTTTCAAGAAAAAAAAATATTTCTAAGATTGAAAATGAGAAATTCTCCATATGGATTAACCAACGGTTATCCATAGAATACTCTTACAGGTTACTTTTTGGAGAAAGGCATCAATGAAATATATTTTTCTCCTTAAACTCTCCCAATATACCAGTTTAGCCCTACAATAGTAACAATTCCAAAGTCTACAATGTGCAACCCATGCAGAGACCAGATCTATCCCATCAGCTTACAGACATGCTGTAATATTTCCAATCTTTAAAAAAAAAAAATCCTCCTTTAACAGAGGAACAAATAAGGAGACACCACAAGGAAACAAACAATCCAGATCATGGGACAAGACAACTAGCCTGGTCTCTTCAAAAGTCAATGTCATGAAAACTGAAGAAATGGTTCTTGGCTTTAAAATATTAGTGAGACATAACAATCAAATGCAATATGTGAATCTTGGCTGGATCCTGGTTCAAAAAAACAAAACAAAACATTTGAAACCAAACATATCAGAGAACAATTGGGAAAACTGAGTATGGAATGGTATTAGATGGTATTTGGGAATTACTATGAATTTCTTATATTTGATAACAGTGTGATTATGCAATAAAATGTCATTACTGCTAGGATATACATGCTATGAGACTTAGGGATAAACTGTCACAATGTTTGCAACTTACTTTCAGTGATTCAGAAAAACACACATTTACACAGAAAGAAAATACAGCAAAATATTAAACTGATCAATCTAGGTGATAGTTATATGTACTACTATTTCAACTTTTCTACATATTTTAACATTTTCAAATGAGAAGTTTGGGGAAAACCCTTTCACCACCCCATATCCTCCACCTTAAGCTACTACCCCCACTTTTCTACCTTACTTTTTCAGCAAAACACTTCAGCAAAAGACTTATCTATACTCAGTGTCTCCACTTTTCTCCTGTTCTCTCATGAACCGAGTCTAATCAGTTTTCATTCCAGTACACAAACTAGCTCCTGACAGGGCTTAACAATGACCACCCCGTAACCAAGTCAAAGGTCATCTCTCAATTTTCATCTTATGCACTCCATCAGCAGTTTCTGACCCAGAAGATCAATCGGAAGTTTTTGAGTACCCTTACCTTCTAGGGCACATGTTTTTCCCGGGATCTCCTGCTGCCTAACTGGCCACTATCTTGGTCTCCTTCCCAAATTCCTCCTCATAACAGCAACTTCTAAATATTGGCACATGCCAGGACTCCGTCCTCACTTTACTTCTCTAGCCTCCTTAATGACCTCATCCAAGTTTGTAGCTCTAAAAATACTGACAAGTGGATGACTCCCATGTTTATATCTCCCATCACAGACTTTTCTCCTGAACCCTGAATTTGTATATTCAACCATCCATTCCCTATCTGAAAATCTAAGAGAATCACACATTTCATGTGTCCAAAACCCAGGGCCCAGAAGCATCACTTCTCATCCCCTCCACCACGCCTACCTGGGCCCAGCCCCACTGCAGCTCTCACATGTTAGTGGGCACAATATCCTCCTAACGGGGAAGCCTGCTCTTGCTTCTCTCATAGAAACCAGACTCACACTTAAGGAAATTTATATCTAGTCACATGCCCTCTTGCTCACCCTCCAGTGTCTTCACCTCACTCAGAGGAAAAGCCAAAGGTCCTAAATAACACACTGCAAGATACTACATCGTATTCTGTACCTCCCCCGCCACTGACCTCAGTTCTTACCCTCCCCTTCTCCCTCCCACCTCCCAATTAAGGGCTTTTCCCTTGTCATTCCCTGTCTTAGATCACATTCCCCCAGACATCTGAGTGACACCCACACTTCAAGACGCTACATAAACATTATCCAATCAGTGACAATGATTATCCTAGATAAAAAAGAAGTCTCCCACACCACCACCACGCACTTTCTGCCTCTTACCCTGCTTTGTTTTCACTGGCAGCACTTACCACCTGACATACCATATATTTGCTTCTTTACTGTCTCCTCAGTGAGGGTCCATAAAGGCAGGGACTTTATTTCATCTAAAACTTACTGCTTAAAAATATCTGCTGTGCTATTTGAAATCGTTCTCAAATTGCCAAGTTAAGTTCATGTGCAATCTTTTCACATTTTTCCCATATAGGTTAGAACTACCCCATTACACTTCTGGATGCCATCTGGAAACACTATGACTGAGTAATTTCTTGTCGCCCAAAGGACTTAAGTCCTCACATTCAGTCCAGAAGATTTCAGAATAAATGGACAAATCAGCTTGAAAGCAGTGGATTCTTAAGTACTTACGTGGGCAATGTCTCCTTTTGTGCCTATGACTCGATCCTGAGAGTGCTTACTGAACTCGACATAGTGATCTTCTGTGAAGGAATGCCTGTGAACAAACAACAGAAGTAGTGAAGTAACTGACCTTCAGGACATACTCACCCAACTGACTGAAAATAAAGCGATCCTCAGCCTCTTGCCTGACTATACTCACCTAAAGATTCTCAGTTCCCAAAGAGGAAAAAATTGTACACTTAACATTAAAAAGCAAATCCCTCCATCAGTTTTGTCCAAGCAGATCCAAAGTAATTAACGGGAACTACTTGGTTAAATAAATGGCTAGAAGGACACATGTGCCTTTGAATTATGCCCCAACAGAGTGCAACTTTCACATGTGAACATGAGAAAACATACAGATGTGCCATTTCGGATTAGTGAAGGGTCTACTGTATGATGGGAATGTATATACTGGGTGAGAATGTCCAGGAACTAAGAAAGATAAAATCTTGTTAAACATGAACCACAGATGAGGAAGAGAAGTGAGCAAAATAACTTACAGCATTCCTTTTTCCCAAAAGGCTTTGAGTCAAAGAATCAGATGAAAAGGGTAAATCATAAAACAGAGAGACTAGGTTGTAAAAGTAGATACATACTTCATATCAAATACTGATTTCATTCCCCAAAGTGCAGACAGAGGCTGGCTCCAAGTAGCAGATGTCAGCAGCAAGGACCCGTCCTAAAAGAAGAGGGGAGGCCCAAGGTGGGTAATCATATGTTTATATAAATGCTACCTGCCATGAGCATTTTAAAATCAAAGCATAGAAAATATTGTTGGATTATGAAGAAAACAGAAATACTCTCAGGAATCAAGAAATGGTCGGAAGCTGCTGGGATTTAAGCAACATGTACCTCCTATGTCCTAAAAAGTAACTAAATTTAAGAGAATATTACATCCTCCTGAACTAGTAACAAAAATTCCAAGGGGGGGTGGCTTGGAAAGATGTCCTCCTTAATATTTGGCCATATTTCTGTCTCCTTCATCTGAAATATCAGTCAACTGAAAACAAGTGTTAGCCTCTCTAGCTAAGGATTCTTAAAGATTTCTCAAGGAGAAAGCCCAATAAAAGCTGAGCCTCTTTTACTCTAAAATCAGAAAAATTATCCTTGTCATCTTAGCAGTCTTGACTTTTAGAAACAGCAAAGGTGTCAATTCCATCCACAGAACAATACTAATAAATTATGAGCCACCACTGGAATCAAATAATGCTTGTTCTTCTAAAAATTCACAGTACTTAAGAGATTTCCTTCTGACATACACAAAAAACTCTTGTGGTCATAGCTGATAATCTGTTTCCAACTGAAGCAAATTTTTTAAAAAATCTATCTTTAGGTCTTAGAACAAAGACTGGCAAACATAAGGGCCAGAGAGTGAATACTTCAGGTTCTGCAGGCCATATGGTCTGTGTTTCATGACACTATGGTACACAACTCTGCCACTGTAGCACAGAAGCAGCCATGATAATACACAAACGTATGAGCATGGCTGTGCTCCAATAAAACTTTATGTACAAATACAGGCAATTAGTCAGCCAGCCCACCGGCCCATAGTTCACCAACCTATCCTAGAAGAATGACTGGGAACAACCTAGAAGGAACCTTTACCCTAGAAGGTTCGAGGTGTGTGATAGCTGAGTTGTGACAGTTATAGCTGGCCTCTTCCTGTCCACTAAACACATTATAGAGCTTCAACTGCCCAGTGCAGGTGCCAAGCATCAGGAACCGCTCCCGTGCTGAGAATGCACAGCAGGTGAAGCCACTCTCATCCTCATTGGCTTCCCGGAACACTGAAATGGGGCGGAATCTAAGCAAAAAAAAAAAAGACAGAATCAGAGACAAGGAACATGCAAGAACACGGAAAAAGGAAACTGTTAGAAGGAAAAAAGTATGTTTGAAATGGGTTCTTCATAAATATCATAGTGACCTTCAGCAGTTAATCTTCATTTTAAAAGAGAGAAAAGGACCTTCATTTAAAATTTTAACATTAACAAAAATGCCCATGTTTAAAACCTGAGATCCTACGACCTCTATGTAAGACTGTAAAGAATCAGAATAGGAGGGGAGGAGCTACAGCTCAGCGGTAGAGTATGTGCTTGGCATGCACAAGGTCCTGGGTTCAATCCTCAGCACCTCCATTAAGAAAAATAAAGAATCAGAAAAGGAGACAACTTGGACCAGCACAAAAACAAATTTGGGAGCCTAGATAGGGAGAGTATTGCATGGGTTCTAGAAAATATACTAGTTATAACAAGAATGAAGATTATCTTATCAATGTTGCCAATAATCACATAAGGAATCCACCGCTGACAAAAGAGGGTATAGTTACAGTGTTCATGTAGTCCCACAAAGTAGGAATTCCTGGTATTGCAGGCCAAGAAATGGTTTTCTGGACTAATCACTCCATGCTGATACTGCCCATACACTTTGATTTAAACAGAAAAATCATTCCAATTCCCAGGGAGTGAGGTTACCTCTCCTTACCTGCTAAAGATAAGGTGCCTATCAAAGCATCCGCCATCCACCCCTCCATACTTTGGAAATGACGCCCTGCGGTTTAGCCTTGAGGTAAAGTTTATTGGCGCTTGCCGCCTCTGTTTTGGCTCAGGACATTGGTGAGGAGTAAAGAGAGAGAAAGGTGGGCAGGTGGCAACTGGGTTCTTGCAGCGCGCATGCTGCTCTCTAAGATATTCTGTGATGATACTGTCCAGCGTAGGTGGGGAAGGAAGATGTCTGTCCAACTGCTTTTTTATGGCTGGGCTTTGGCTGTAGGCGCCATGGTCCGACTTCTGCCGCAACACTCTGATTTTCCTGCCATTGCAGGGTGATGGCCTCTCTCTGATAAAACTGATCCTACCAATCAAAGGGGAGTTGCCTGCATAAGATGGGCCAGGCAGAGCTAGTGAACCCTGGGGGGCCCGTGGCTGAGGATGAGCAGCAGGGGCAGAAGGGGCAGAGGCACCCACAGCAGTATGGCTGCCCAGTCGAGTTGCAATGCCATTGGCAATGCGAGGGGTCCGGGGGAGAGAAACAGGAGAAGCAGCAGCAGTGACTGGGGTGAAGGCAGAAGAATGGGAGGCAGCAGTCATGGGCAGGTCAGCTTCTTTAGTCAGCACGGTTGCTGTCTCTCCAAGCCCTTTAGAAATGAGATGGTTCCGTATCAGCAGAAGCAGCTCTTTCTCAGGAAAGGAGATCCTTGACTGGGCAACAACATCTGCTTTCTGCAGTCGTGCCAGGGACACATCAGTGCCAATGAGAAGTGGCTTTCCTGACACGCGTTCAATGAGCTCAGCAGCATACTTGCAGAACTTGACGTGGTCACTGCGCTTGTCCTGCAGCACAGGCTCCTTCATCAGCTGCTGGATCTGGCAGCTGCTAAAAAGGGGCAGTTTGCTGATGATCTGCCGGACAGTGCTACTGCGAGACAGGCCCACCAGGGCCTTGCAAGCCAGGGCCCGGATCTGGTCTGCATCTGTGATGGGCATCTTGATGGACAGTAAGGACAGAAGCACCTTGATGCCATTGTTGGACTGGACCACATTCCACATCTTGGCCAGAGTGTGCTCGCTGCTTTTGGGAGTCTGAGGCAGCTTTCTCCGAGGAGTTCCAGAGATAAATTTGCCAATACTAGAAATTCTGTTATCCGGGCCACACACACAATTGATGATAATCTGAAGTGCTGACTTCTGAATTTCAGCATCATGAATGAAAAACTCACCCTCAGCCACTCCCAAAATAATGCTGATACCTATCGGGGGGAAAAAAACATTTCATATAACTCCTCATAAAACTAATGGCCAACTTCACTGGTTATTCCAGAGTCAAAATTTCTATTCATTTTGTTCTATTTAAAAGAAAATTACCACACTTTTTAAGAAAAGTACAAGGAATAGTTTGTGTAAAATGCAATCAGTTCTACTACAATGTATCTTTATGACGCAATACCTCATAAGCAGTTGTTAAATAGGGGAATGATGTCAGTATAATGTGGAAGTCACCAAGGTTCATGTGCAATTTTTCCTAGGTAAGGAGAGCAAAAATAGTGGGAATAAATTAAAACCTTCAGCAGGAAAGGAAAAAGCCCTCAGCCTGGCTGCTATAGTGGCAGCAGGAACTCCTTCTTCTATATATGAGAAAAGTTAAAAACAAGTGGCTATGCCTTGGACTTTCAGAGTGGTGCATCCTAGGACCCAGAGCAGGCACACTATTTGTCATGCTCACCTTAGCAGCAGCCCCCATAAGCCTGCTTATGGGGTATTTTCAAACAAAGTGTATGCTTTTGTTTTGTACATAACAGCTGCTATCCATTCTGAACTGCCTGCCACTTACTAATTTTGTTAGGGCTCAGATAACAAAGTTGCTTATTTTCACTGTCTGCCCCAACCCATTTTTCTCATGAATTCTATTTTTAGCACAACACTCTGCAGAGTAAAAAGTTTTCAGGAATGCACATGTAAACCATTATAGCAGAAACACCTGCACAACCCAGAAAACCTGAGTTTACTCACATGACTCCCCTATATGAATCTAATGGCATGACTTGCAAGGTACCCTCCTCTATTACCTTCTGCTCTAATATTGCAAAATTCGGTCAGGTAAGTAACCACAACCAGAATGGCAAAGGAAAAAAATCCAGACCACGCAATAACAAAAATGGCAAGGTACAACCTACCTACAGTAGAGACAGTGGAGCCGGCCTCATCCAGCACATCCACTGATTCTGCCAACTGGAGCTGGATTTTTGGCACAACAGTGAGAATAGCCAGGACATCCAAAGCAAAGCGCACAGTGTCATTCCTGGACAAGAAGAAGAATTAGTCAAAGGGAAACTAGGATACAGTCACAAGAAACAACAGTTAAAAGAGACAGACAGACAGACATACAATGGATCCAAACTACTACCTGTTTGGCTCTGTCCCTAGTCATGGCGTCAAAAGAGGTTCTGTAAGTCACTATGACATTACTTTCAAAAAACATGGGACTGGAATTTTCACCCATCAAACTGCTAAGATTAGAAACAAAGGATAATCCCCAGTGCTGGTGAAGATGTACAGAGACAAATGTTCTCAAACTTTCGGTGGGAGTAGAAATTAGGATACTCTTTTTAGAAAATAATCTGGAAATATAAAACAAGGTTCTTAAAATGTTCATAACCTTTGGCCCAGGAATTTCCCCTCTAGGAATCTGTACTAAGAAAATAATCAGAAGCACAAACAAATATTTATGCATTAAGATGTCCATTATCACATCATGTAAAATAGCAAAAGAATTAAGAAAACTTACACAAACAGGAATACACGTGTTAAATTATGGTACACTCATACGATGAACTACTTTGACAATTATTTTCAAAGAACTCTAAAGGACAAAGGAAGAGGCTCAAAACAGTACATTAATGAAATAGAAAATTTAAGATAAAAAATTTTAAATCTGACAACACCAAGTATTTGGCAAGAAGGTAGAAAAATGAAAACTCCCATTGACTGCTGTTGGGAGAAGAAAACACTACGATCACTTTCCAAGCAACTTGGCAACATCCACTAAAGATGAAATGCAGACAAACTACAACCAAGGTTGTACACATCATGTCCTCAAGAGAGACTCCAAAAAGAGGTTTGTGGTACCATTCATTTGACAAGAAAAGAAGTAACAGATACTAAATGTCCATTAACAGGAGAATAAAGTATAATATAGAAATATAAGAGTTCAAATAAATATCAACATGTATAAATCTCAAACACATAAGGATGACTGTATACCTAACACTTATATTAAAAAAGTAAATAAAAATACAGGGCAAAAAGCAAGTTTGCAAAAGACGCATACAGGATAATATTTACATAATTTTAAGGAATACAAAAGAGTACTATATTGTTATTTATACACCCACACATGTATGGCATAGACACATGAATGGAGACAATGCACACCAAATTCAGAAGATTGGTCACTTTGGGAGGCAGAAAGAGGAAAGGAATTGAGAAAGAAACAAATACAGCAACATGCCAACCCTGGGTATGGAGTAGTTGTTACTTTATTCTTGACCTTGAGATATTTCATGTAAAAGATTTGCTTAAATATTATAATCTCAATCATGTATATTTACATACATTATGGAAAAAAGACTGAAGAAATTAACAGTGGCTGAGAATAATTTTCATTTCTAAGGTTCTGTATAATCTAAGCAGAAACAAGAGTTTAATTTTATTTTTAAAAATAAGCTTTTAAAGAACATACTTATATTTTCTTAAGTAACCAAATATGGATTTACCACTCAGAAAATGTATTTATAACCTTCCTAGTTATCTTCTGAGTTTTCATCATCTTTAAAGCAATGTTCTCCGAGTAAATATAATACCCTACTTTAGTGCTCTAAAACAGTGGTTCTCAAATTTTAGCTAGGGGACCCCAGGAGTCTTTGAGACCCTTTCAAAAGATGCTGAGATATAAAAACCATTTTCATAGTAACACTAAGCGGCTATTTCCATTTCTCAGTCTCATTCTCTCACGAGTGTATTGTAAAGCTTTCCAGAGGCTGTCATGTGTGATGTCACATAAGACTGAACATAAAAGCAGATATGAAATATTAAGCCAGACATTTTAAAAACTTGATGAAATCATCTGGTTTTATTTTAGAAACTTTTCATTAATAAGCTAATGGGTTATACAACTAATTAGCACAACTAATGGGTTCATATTTTTTAAATAAATTCATAAATATTCTTATATCTTCTCAGTTTTAATTTCTAATATGTTAAATATCAATAGATATAATACAAAAACAAAAGTTTTAGGGGGGGTTCTAATAATTTTTAATATGGATCCTGAGTCCAAAAAGTTTGAAAGTGGCCACTCCAAAAATATTCCCCTAGATTTAATATCCTGGGATTTTAGCAAACAAGCCATGTGCACCCTAAATAAGCCCCTGGAGTCTTATGGTAGTGGGCAGATAGGAAAAGAAAGTCAAGAACCACTGTTTATTAACCTTGTTACTATCTTCTCTTCAGATTCTTTTCCAAAATATGATTTAATTCTGTTTGTATCATCCTGAAATAGAATCCATCCAACCTTCTGATTCCATCAGCTGTCCTTTTTTCCTGACCTTTGTCCTGCTCTGCTCTGTTTTTAACTGAATGGTGAAAATCATAACAAGAGTAAAAAATAGTTTTATGTGAAGGTAAGATAAATATTATATATGGTTCTCAAGCAGTGGAGAGACATTTTAAGTCTAAGTACCAAAGGATACTGGACTCTAGTCTCAAGACAGGACTTCAACCCCACCTCTGCAGCTGTCACCATGTAAATTACATAACTTCTCTAACAGTACAGATGCTGATCCCTGCCTACTGTGCAGTATTCATAATCACCAAGACAAAGCACCCTATAAATTTAACATTACATTATCACACTTAATCTAGTTTCTCAGATTCAAGCCCAAAATTTCAATTCAGTGAGTTTTTGTTAAGCACACACTATGAGAAAACCAACATCAATCTAGCAAAAAGCAAAATCTAACTTCTTTTGAAACCCCTCTCTGATCCCACCTTGCATAATAGGTCTTCCAATTGCAGGCAATAGAAATAAGCTGCAACAAGAGTTGGACACAAGACAGTTTGAGGAAGACTTCAGCTGGTTCCCAGTATAGCTGTGCTGGGCCATATTCTATCAAAAACTCCATCATTTCCACAATTTGTTCATGAGTATAAGAACATGCCTAAAAGGAGAAAGATATATCACTAAAGAACTCTATCAATTTGCCTGCTTTCTTCAGCACAACTCAATGGCCAACAGGTTTTAATAACAAAGCTTAGTAATAAATGCTTTCAAATCCCACAATTCTTGAGTCCACAGCCCGTATGTGAAATAATAAATACATATATATTGTTTAATCTTTTATTTATAACTAGATTCACAATACCTTTTGCCCAAAAAAAGTAACATAATGTTCAAATTATTGGTGCATATATCTCACAGCTTAAGAAGAAAAAGAAGCACCATGTAAAATAATGGATTTCTTTTCAATTTGTGATTTTTAAGACATGCAGTTACTAATCTTTGTTCCAAGACATACCAAGTTAAGTTCAAAAATGATAGAGAAGTGGAATTAGACACACCCTCTGAGAAAAGAAATTCCACACAGAAGGAAGTAGTACACAGGAGGATATCCAGTACTTTTCATAAAATAAAGCCCTTTTACGCACATTGCAGCTCATCTTTTAGTTCTAGTATCCCAGAGACGTAGCAACTTACAAATGGAAGCAAAATAAGCCCCTGATACCTCCATTTTCAAGTATTCTGCCTCCACATAGTGCAAGTATAATCCGACAATGTACATCTCATGTGGACTTCACCGATATGAATGTGCATTTCAGGCCCAAGATGCTACAGAGAATATTAACAACACTCCCTTTAAGACACGGTTCTCTCACCTTATATGGGGGCTGAGGATGAACAAGAATGCCACCCTCAGTCCTCTGAAGTGACTGCTTCACTTGTTCCAATTTAATGGCTAGGTGAGCCTCAAAGTACTTGCGCAAGGCCATGCAGGTATGTTTCCCAGTTTGGCGGCTGGCAAATATTTCATCATCGCTCAGAAGTGCACCCTGATCTTCCAAATTTAGAATCTCCAAAGTACTGATCTATTAAGAAAGAATGGACAAAAGAGGGAGAAAACAAAAAAGAAAAGTAAAAGGAGAAGATTTCAGTTTATGCTCAAGAAGACTAACAAATATCAAAGTACATCTGTCTATACAACATGCTAAGAGTAGCCACAAGAAAGCAAAACATTAAACTCATACTGAAAAATTACATAGCTTTCAATCATGTCAAAAGACACAGAGGCACAAAACTATTGCTTTTAGAAAGATCAAGCAATTCCCCCTACAAAATTACTATATTCAAGGCAAGTCTACAATGGCACAGTCCTCTAACTGCTTAAGAGGAAGCGAAATTTGTGAATGAACGAGGAAAAAAAGACTTTATGAGAATGACAGGAAAATTCCTCCAGTCAGAAGCTTCCTCTCCTCAATGCTGCTGAAAGGCAACCTAGATAAGCAGGACCCCTGTTCCTCACAAAGAGAAGCCACTGAAGAACCTCACCAAGTTCACCAGACGACGAAGACCATCATAGCGGTCAAAGAGTTCCAACACAGCCCGGAAGGAGAAGCAGATTGAGAAAAACATAGTAGCATGGCAGCATCCTGAGGCATGAGAACATTCCATTAACCACAGGGTATAGTTCACCACATCAGATAGAACATTGTGGGGATGCATGCAAACCTGTAAAAAAAAATAAAAATAAAAACATAATTTTTAAAAACTAGGGTCAAAGGAGCTTTCAAAAGGGATGAAAAATTCACCAATGTAGACAGACAGCTTTGCAGAATACAATCATCATTCCTGGTCAAGTCATTCTGAGATTAAAGCTTAAGTTACAAATGAAATTTTATAACAATCTATTTCAAGCTTGAAAACAACCTAAATTTAGAGAAATATTTAAATTCAACCTACACTTACTGAGTGCCAAATTTTGCAAATATTTACATCCTTTAATGCTCACAATGCTCTGTTATACAGGTATTAGGATTCCCACTTAACAGATAAGGAAGAGGCTCAGGGAAGCACAGGACTGCCCAAGGGTGATAAAAGTGACCAAGCTGTCTGATAATAAATTCTCCAAGTTTATTATCCTCTCACTCACTCATTCATTCAAACATCTTCTTGGCTCCTAAAGGTCAGACAATGAATTCTGAAGCATTATCCAGGTTTCCGTGGTAGTTTTTTTTTTTTTAATCTTAACCACAATTAATTTTGTACATACACACACAGATTAGGTTACTATTCTCAAAAGACTATATATTCTTGCATAATGTTGATCTCATGAGGTGAAAACATTAAAATCAAAACATTGCCTTAGTAATAAATAAAGATGAAAAAAAGGCATTGCCCAAGAAGAATTTACCAGCTTCACTCTACCAGAAGAGTCACATCACACAGAATATTAGAAAAATATTCCAGGCACAGGAATGCCAAGCGCTTCCCTAGTAAGTGTCTAGGGACCCATTTATTTGCAAATGTACAACCCACTTACACTTTTTAAAAAATCACTAAATAAAAAGTCTTAACTGGAAAAACAGAAAAACCAGCTAGGGGACCTCTGGAGCCCTGAGAAGAACTGGAATGATTTTACTATTTCCACCACAAACTACTTGTTAACATATACAAAGTATCCTCTGTTGTTTTTACAACAGACTGACTCAAAAAAGCAAAATGTAACTCTACTGAGGGACATCTGAAATGAGCTTGACAATATCCTAATATCCTAATATCCTAATGCAACAGAAATGGCAAAAAGAAGCTCCCAGACCTGTCTTGGGTTTTGTTGGGGTTTTTTTTGTTTTTTGTTTTTTTTCAGAAAGTTAAGGGGGGGAAAGGACCTTTTCTAAAGAACTTTACATTTGGGAACTTTTCTAAAGAATTTTACATTTTTAAAATGTTGTGTAAAGATCAGACATTTATGCTCCTTGCTTCGTTCATTAAAACTTAATGCAGCTATTCATTTTTTTTTATCCAAAAGTCGTTCTGTCAGCATATTAGAGTGGTTCCCCACCCTATTCCACTCCCATATATTTGAAATGGACTGGACTTAACTCTTTCCATGGCATCCTGGTTGTAGGACAGGTAATACAAGCACATGGACACACCAGTTGCAGCCATAGAAGGACGAGGAATTTCCAGTAATTTCTGCACTCCACCATGGGCAACAAATTCTGTGGCAAACTTGTTATGGAGCAGGAGAGATGCTAGGTGCTAAACAAAGAGGACATATGTTACCATGGAATAATCTAGAACAAATATTTCTTCACAAAATATTAAGTTGCTAAATATAGGACTCCTCTGAAGTAGACAATCACTCCCTCACAACAGAAGTAAAACCGATACTGCTTATGGGAAACAAAAAACAAAAACAACAAACTCTAAGAATCCGTAACACTCCCTCCCAATATCAAAGGTTTCCATGAAGGTGAAAAACAAGAAATGAAAAATACTGCTGTAAGTAATGACATAATCCTACAACCAATCTATTATTACATAGCTTCGCTAAGAATTTCTGTTACCCTTCCCATTTTAATCATAGTCAGCTCTACGTTTTATTTAGCTTTGGCTCAGTCACTGACTCATCATCTAATAAAATCCAAAACTCTGCCTTCTTTTAACTTGATCTTTAGTATATCCCCAAAGAACAATCTGTAGCAAATTATCAAAAGTAGTAAATTTTTAGAACTAAGCAGAATGTACTTTAAATAGATCTTTATTAAAAAACTATTTTACTAAGTCTACAAAACACAGGCCTTTGCTATCTTTTAAGTTTTGTTAACTTAATGTTCAATTCTTACTAGCCTCTCTGGGTGGACCTGATCTTCTGGGCAATTTTAAGGGCAAGGAGTGCAATGCAAGCAGCAGGCTACTCAATGACTCTGAACCCAGGCCAATGCGGATGGGGCCTCGGGAGAACTACGGCTCCCCCTCCTGTTTCTCATGCCAAGGTGTCTTATGGGTGGTGACACAGGCACATGGTACGAACAAGACACACATGATTTGATACCTGTATAAATCTCCTAAGGTCAATGGCAAAAAACAGGTATGTACCCTGTTCATAAGTTCTCTCAACACCTAGACTCAGACTGATCCTTACAATTCAAATCTCTTCCCTCTTTACTCTTCTTGTCTGTTACACAAACTTCTACCACACTCACACCCAGTCTTTCCCCAAGGAACAGCTAAACCATGTATGGTTCTCTCTCCAATACCTAGGCCATTGCATGTGGTGGTTTTTCTCAAAGTCACTACCATAAAGTGGCAGTTCCACCAGCAGGTGGGGAAAAAGAACAAGCAGGTTCAACTCTTACCTGCTCCTTAATTCTATTTGGCTCAACACAGCCCATAACCTGGCTCACCTCACTCATGTAGGCAAAGACAGTATTTTCTCTCCTTATATTGTACCTCCAAGTAAGACATAGTTCTTAATTTACTACTTTAATTTACTACCTTAATCTATTTTGTTTCTACCACCTTCAACACCTGTTCCTTCTCCTACACAACTGAGTCTTCCTTTAGAGAGAAACAGTACACATAACTTTCTGCATTTTTTTATATCCCTATAAGGATCTGTTGTGTGATTTTTCCTTTTGTCCCTATTTCATCTTCTTTAATCCTTTATATGACTCTGCATCAAAACAGCTGAATAATGACAACCAAATAGTTCCTCATAACAAAAATCTACAGAAATAGCAACTGCCCAAATTCCTTCTTTCACTATATCCTTTTCAGGACAGGATGCTGTATCTAAAAGCAACATTTTTGGGCCACTGGAGAAAATCTCATCTCTAGCTTCATCCCACTGTTCAAAGCATAATCATGAGTTTACACACTTTATAAACACACACACAAACACACACACACACTATATCCCACACAAGGGATACATGTTACTCCAAAGTACGTCTGACATCCTCCAAATTTAAAATTTCTGGGATCTGAAAGGAAAATTTCTTCATTTCATACACTCGAACTGTGCTATCCAATGCAGTAGTCACTGGCCACATGTGCTAATTTAATTTAAATTAACTAAAATTAAGTTAAACATTCAGTGCCTTAGTGGCACTAGCTACATTTTAAGTACTTATAAATGGCTTGCAGCCACTACACTGAACAGCACAAAGAACATTTCCATCATCACAGAAAGTTCTACTGGACAGCATAGTTCTGGAATACCATGAATAAAACTGCTAACTTTAAAGACCCAGAGAGAACATCACCTCTCTTTCAGAGGTCTTGTCTGGTAGCTATTATTTCTCAGGAAGAACAGACTATTCCTTCCTTTGTGCCCCACATTTTTTTCACAACATCCATAATATCTAAAAGAAACCACAGACTTACATGCCTGTCTCTCTTAACCAAACCATAAAGAGCAGAGACTTAATCTGCCTAATATTGTAAACATCACAGAAGAGTCCTATGTTCATTAGTTACCTGTTGGGTAAAACTATAACAGCCACAATGGTATGCATTCAACTTAACCTCTCTCTATTCAGTTTACCTTAATTATCATGAATAGGTATGGCTCTGGTGGGCTAGACTGACCTGCCCTCCCATATTTAGCCTCTTTGCAACCTAGAAAATCATTCACCTTTACTGAATTTGGGTATGCCTCTATTTCTTTATTCATTTTCTGTTTTATATTTTGTTCACCCTAGATAATCAAATATCATACAATATGCACATAGTTAAGAATTCAGAAAAAGTGTTGACTGGCAGAGGGAATACTGAAAAAGTAGTAATGACATAAAGTACTATACACGTAGTTTCCCACTCCTAAACGTAACAATAACTGAGGCCACTCCCAGGTCTAGATCCACTTTCTCCCTTAACATTCAATCCTCTAGGACTGACCCCTGAATTTCTGTGGAGGCACTTGGTAAGCCTCATCTTTTCTACCTAAATAGGAAATTTTCATTTGTAACTTTTTTGGCACATCTGGCATAGAAATAGCCTGAACAATAAAATCCAGAGATGCAATATAGCAAACCACACAGGCCCCATCCATGTCAAAATGTTCAGCGATCTCATATTCTCAAGAATTTTACCTTGAGTGCCTCAAACGTAAGCAGGACATCATTAGTCTGTTTCAAGTCAATATAGAACATCATCAACTCCCGTGATCCAAGTTGCATGAATATGGGAAGTAACTGAAATCAACACCAAAAGCAAGTCTTAACATTTGGATTTATTTTCACATATTTCCTATTCCATTATGAGGACAGAAGATTAAAGAAATGAGGTACCTCCTCCCACCTGTTTTATGAAGATAAACACAAACACACTTTGATCTAAAAGGCCTTATCAGAGGTGACATGCATAAGACTTTACCAGTTTGAGGCAAAGCGTTTTCTGTTTTAGAGTAAAAACATATTAATGTATGAAATGCTACAATAAAATATCCCAGAAATAAATACAGTAATCCCAAAGTGTGAACAGTACTTTCCTAATAAGCTTACCTCCTGATATTCTCCTAATGGGGTCAAATATTGGAGAATAAGTCGCTGCTCGATAGCGGGAGTCATAGGATAAAGAGTATAATTGGTGCCAATCACCCAGGGGGACATTTCTGACCAGCTGCTGTTAGACAGCTCAACAAACATGCGATCTGGATCAGATGATGAGAAACCCAACTTTTGTTTGGCTTTCCTAAAGCTCTCTCTGTCACCCTGTTTTGCTGACTTGTTTTTCCTCAATCCTCCTTCCTCAGGTTTGGTTGCTGAGTTCATTCTGCTACTGGTCTTGTGGCCTGAATCAAGATGAAAGGAGATCTCCATGTCTCCAGAGGCTTCCTCTTGTTCACCATCCACTACATCTACAGCCATGTCGCCATAGTCCATATCCACAGCTTCTTCATCCAGAGGCAAAAGAGGCTCAGAGGAGAGCTTTCGAGGGCTAGGACGCTTGCTTTCTTGCCTCAAAGCCACTTCCTGAAGCTGTAGCTCCCTCAATCTTCGAAGCACTATTGCCACCTATCAACAGATAATGGAATAAAAGGGGTTATCTCTTCTACCTCTTAATTTAAATGACTCTTAATAAGAAAATCTCATTTCTACTTAAGGAGAACTGGATGCTCATGCAGTTATCTCAATGCCTGGTAATAGTAAAGATTTGAAAAATATGTTGACTTTATTCCTACAGCTTGATGAAATAAACAATTCCCCACAAAATTCCCCAGAGAACCCAAACCAGAAAACCTGCACATGAAACACATAATTCAGAACACATCTGTCTGGATCAAGCTGGGCTGGGCCATCACACCTGAAGAGGCAGACACTAGTTACATTCACAATTTTTAAAAAATGTCTTTGAAAGTCAAAAGTTTCTCAAACTTATATCTGTTATAAGTTGTATTCTGTTAGATATTATTATCTACATTATACATATAGTTACACAATCTTATTTTTCAAATTCTCCACTTATGTTTTACATTTTCCTTTAAGTACTCATTTTTTGGGCCAAACCTAAACCATAGTATTATGCTTAGTTTTAAAAAGAGAAGAGTGATTAGGTTGGCAATTTATTTTAAACTGCATTTTAAAAAATGTGGATGGATAGAAAAATTGGAGAATGGATGGATGAGTATGTCATAAAACATAAGTGTAGAACAGTATGTATGCAGGTGTTCATTGTAAAATTCTTTCTATTTTGCCATATGTTTGAAATTTTTCATAATCCAAATATTGGTAAGGGATAGAGAATGGTACAATTTTATTTGGTACAAACTAAGATGATTCTTGACAAATTAAAAACAGCTATTTTCAAGTTAAAAAAAAAAGTAAAGTCAAAACTCTTATAAAAAAGTAATACTGAAATAGTGAAATTATAGCTACACTCTAATACAAGGCTGTGAATAAAATCTATCTATTCAAGTTTGGATAGCAAGAAAGAACATGTGAATACTCTCCCATCTTATGCAAAAAATCATTCTAACATCGTCCATACCAGCTGTGAATTTTCATCCCTGTAGTTGGCAGCAATGTCTTGATTTTCCATAGCACCTCCTAAAAGACCAGTAGAATATGTCCTCAATGGCTGATCAGCCTCTCGGGCCCATTTGAAAAGATTTTCAACAATTCCTTCCTATAGTAAAGGAAATGAAATAGTATAATGCAGGGAGGAAAGAAAATCAATTTTCATAATTAAAGATACAAGCAAAGATTTCAGTCTTGTAAAAAAAATTTTAATAAAGTATTTCAGTATTGCTCATAAGATTAAAAAATGCAAGTAAACTAAATGTACAAGAGTAAGAGTAGGTTTAGTTAAATAAAGTGTCTGTGCATCTGTCAAACAGAATCCTATTTATCCATTATAAATCAACCTAAAGATCAACAATCACATAATATAGCCCTATTTTAGCTGTTAAGACCCAAAAGGTTCCATGACCAAGTGGGGAGCACTAAAAATTCTATGTCCCTCTTTGAAGTTCACAATGCACAATTAACATTATCAATGCTCTGAGAAGTCCTCCATCAAACAAGTATTTAACTCCACTATCCCACTTTTTAAAATTAGTTTTTATTATGAAATATAATACATATAAGCATGTGTAGTCCAAAGACAATGAAAATCACCTGTGATTTACCACCGAGTTAAGAAGCAGAAACCTACTGAAAAATTGTGCTATACACCAGAAACTGACACAACATTGTAAACTGAGTATAACTCAATTGAAAAAAAAAAAAAAAAGAAGAAACAAAACTGGGGAAAAGAGTCCTTTCTATATTCAAGGAGATTTCGAAGACTGCCATTTCTCTTTTTTAATTTCTGTGAGATTTCATTGTTTAGCATAAAATCTGAAACGACTACTTTCAGTGTACAAAATTCAATATTAAAACTTTGAAAATTTAAAAAAAAGCAGAAACCTCCGATGTGTCCCTCCTTGTATCACCTGCCCCCTCCCTCCCCAAAGGGTACCTAAATTGCTAAATTTTAACAATTTTCTCCTAAAGCTTTTGTCAAAAATGATGCTTTCAACTCTATAAACTGTGTGGTGCCATATGTATTTTTTCTGCAACTTGTTTCTTTTATTCAACATTATGTTTCTTACATTCATCTACACTGTTGTAAACATCACAAACAGCACTCAACAGGCTTTATACATAACTTATTTAATCCTCATGCAACCCTATATGATTGGGTAAGTACTTACTGTATTTACAGAAGAGAAAACTGAGTCACAATGAGGTTGAGTAACTTACCAAAAGTAACAAAACTAGTAGGTGGCAGAGCTGGGATCTGATCCCAGGCAGTATACCTCCAGGTGCTCTTCACCTCCACATTCTGCTGCTGCTATTTCATTGACTTAACCAACTATACCTATTTTTGTGCCAGCATGTCCCTAGGATAAATATCTAGGAATGGAACTGCCAAGTCACAGGTGTGTATGCTCAACTTTACCAGAGGATACCAAACTATTTTCAAAGTGACCACAACAATTCACATTTCCAACAGTGAATAGTTCTTTTCTTTCTGATACCAACACTTGGGCACTATCAGACTTTCTTTTTTGTAGTCTGGTGGGTATAAAAAAAATTATTCTGTTAAACTTCAATTTTCTTATTTACTAATGAGATTCAGTATTTTTTTTCATGCCTCTGACTATTCAGGATTCCACTTTCTGTAAAATATTCATGTCTTTTACGATAAACAAGTTCTTTTTATTTAATCATACTTAATAATATTTTCTTTTAATTTTGTGCACTTTATATCTTAAGAAACTCTTCCCTAGGATCATGGATTCATTCTATATATTTCTAAGTTTCAAGCTTTAAAAAAAATTAACACTCTGAAAAACACGTTTTGAGAAATTTTGTTTTAAAATATTTATTGATATGAAAACATATGTACCATCTATTTTAAATGTCTTTCATTCTTTTCTCTTTCCAGTGTAATAAACTTAAAATACAAACTCCATCTGCATGTTACCCCAAATTTCTGTTCCCCCTTTTGCTGTCCAAAGTTGTTTATTTCAGTCAGTATTTCTAGGTTTATAGAAATTCCCTGAAGACATTTTCTACTATTATCTGGCCTCTATTGCTGCTGTGGCAAAGCCTGCTATGTTTATCTGCAGGAATTTTCTTGACTCTAGTTGCTTCTAAAATCTTCTCTTTGTCTTTGGTATTCTTCGTTGGGCTTCCTGAATCTGAGTGATCATATCGTTCATAAATCGAAAAAATCCTAACCTCATTTCTCTGAATACTGCCTTTCTCTTACCTCTCTATTCTCTTTTCCTGAAACTCCTTTTAGATATATTTTTAATTTTCTAATTCTACTATCTATATCTCAACTTCATTCAAATCTTTCATCTTTTATTTCTAAGAGCTTCATTATAATCCTGGCAGATCTTCTAGTTTATTAAGTCTATTTTTAGCTGTGTCTAAACTTCACTCTAACTCATCTATGATGTTTTAAAATTCAGTATCTGTAATTTTTATTTCCAGTAGTTCCTTGCTTCACTTTCCAAACGGCCGTTTTTTTTCCAATGTCTTGGACAGTTCTTAGAGTTCTGATTCTTTCTTTTACATCCAATAATTTGTAACCATTTTTAAGCATGCAATTCAGTGGGATTAAGTACACTAACATTGTTGTGTAACCATCTCTGCTATTTCCAGAACTTCATTATCCCAAATTGAAAACTCTTAACTTCCACTTTCAATAATGGATAGAATAACCAACCAGAAAAATCAATAAGAAAACAGAGGTTGAACAACACTAAAAACCAATTAGAGCTAAAAAACACATAGAGAAAATGGAACATTACAGGATAGATCATTATGTTAGGCCACAAAACAAGTCTTAACAATTTAAAAAAGACTGATCTCTTATAAAGAATTGTTTCCAATCACAATGGAATGAAATGAGGAATCAACAACCTAAGCGAAAACTGGAAAATTTATATATGGAAATTAACACACTCTTAAACAATGAATGGGTCAAAGAAGAAATACAGGGAAATTAGAAAATACCTAGAGATGGAAGCAAACAAAAATGCAACATACCAAAATTTATGGGATGCCACAAAAGCAGTACAAAGAGGGAAATCTACAGCCACAAGCACATAAAGTTAAAAAGAGAAAAAGGTCACAAATCAATAACCTAACTGTACACTTTAAGGAACAAAGAAAAGGAGCAAACAAAATCCAAAGATAAGAGAAGTATAAATAAAGAAATAAATAAACAAACAAACAATAGAGATAAATCAAATAGTGAATAGAAAAATAGAGAAAATTAATGAAACCAAAACTTGTTTCCTTGAAAAGAACAACAAAATTGACAAACCTTTAGCAGACTGACCAAGATGGGGAAAAGGCTCAAATTACTAGAAACAAAAATGAAAGCGACATGACTACCAATTTTACAAGAATAAAAAGGACTGTAAGAGAACACCATAAATAACTATACACCAACAAATTGGGTAACTTAGATAAAATGGACAAATTCCTAGAAACACAATCTACCAAAATTGACTCATGAAGAAAGAGAAAAACTGAATGAACAGACCTATAACCAGTAAGGAGATTGAATCAGTCGTCAAAAACCTCCCCAAAACAGAAAAACCTAAGACCAGATTACTTCACTGATGAATTCTACCAAACAAAGAATTAATACCAATCCTTCTCAAAGTTTCAAAAAATCAATGAGATGGGAACACTTCCTAACTCATTCTATGAGGCCATCATTACCCTGATATCAAAGCCAGATGAAGACAGTACAAGAAAACTATAGCTACCCCTTTTCAATACTGATGCAAAAATCCTCCATAAAATACTAGGAAATTGAGTTCAGCAGCAGAGTAAATGTATTACATGACACAGTCAAGTGGATTTACCCAGGAATGCAAATATGGTTCAAAATACAAAAATCAATCAATGGAACAAACCACATTAGCAGAATTAGTGTGAAATTAATTTTTGTGAACTAGCAAGAAAATCACATGAGCATGTCAAATGACACAGAGAATCTGAGAAAAATCAACATGTTTTCATTAAAAAGCACTTAATAAACCAGCAAAAGAAGAAAACTACCTCAACATAATAAAGGCCAGGTATGAAAAATCCACAGCTAACATTATAGTCAACAGTGAAAGGCTGACAGGCTTTTTCCCCTACAATTAAGAACAAGACAAGACAATGTCTGCTTTCACCAGTTCTATTCAACATAGTACTGGAAGTTCTAGTCAGAATAAGGCAAGAAAAAGAAATTAAAAGTACTTACTGTTGTAAAGGAAGAAATAAAATTATCTCTGTTTACAGATATGACCTTATACATAGAAAACAATAAAGATTCCACACAAGTACTCACACACACACACACACACACACACACATACACACACAAAACTGTTAGAATAAATGAATTCAGCAAACTAGGACACAAAATCAACACACAAAATCAGTTGCATATCTACATACTAGTAATGAAAAATCTGAAAAGGAAACACATTCAATCACTTAAAAGGCATTTTCTTTTTAGTACCTTTCAGATAACTGCTCTATTAAATTACCCTGTTTGTTTAATTGTTGACTCCGAATCATGGAAGACTATTTGTTGGGAGTATTTTGCAATATTTTTGTGAATTCACTTTTTGTGGAAATTGCTTTTTCCGTGAGAATCCGTTGTGGCCTGTATTGTGAGACCCTCCTCCCAGAGAAGTTTCACATTTGCTTTTCCCAGACACACAAGGAATATCCAGAACAATTCTGCTGTTGCCAGTAATATCTTGACTTTGGGGTCCCTAATCATATGATAGAAATTTCAAACATAAACCCAAATAAGGCCCATGTCCAGAGTTTCTCAAAGAAGACTTACATGCCCCTGCCCCTAAGAGTGGAGTCAAAGACTGAGAAACCTGTCATTTTCCCAAAGCCAAGAGGCAGATATATTTTCCTCATTGTTTCAAGTAAGGTCCTTTGGGAGTTGCAGTTTTACACAGAGGTCAGGGTCTCCATTCTAACTCCTCACCCAAGATTTTTGTCTCCTGTCCTCAATTACTCATTTGGTTTTACAGTTGGCTCTTCATGTCTGGCACCTAGGGATTTCTCTTTCTAAGAGTTTGTTATAGTTTACCCAGAATTTGTATTTGTCTTCAACAGGAGAGCTTGTAAGTTATCCTGGTCAATCATCTTGGTAGATCTGGGTTTCCTCCCTTCTGTCTTAAAACCATTTCTTTTCTCTCTGCTTCTAAAACACCATACTCATGGTTTTCTTCCTACCTCATGGAAGACTGTGAGGATTAAGTGACATAATACAAATCAAATGCTTGGCACAGGGCTGGCACTCAATAAATAGTAGCCATCTAACTGGCCCCATGAACACTTTCTTCATAAAACACCTATTAACATTTAAGAGGAATTTTAATGACTCAGAGTATGAAATCTTGAAAATGCTGACTTATACTTTCTGAGATTTCATTCTCTCCAACTCTATCCTTCTCACCTCAAATAATTTAAGACAATCTCAAAGAGAACTGTTAAAGCAGTACTCTTAAAGAGTTAAGTCCATAAAGGTCCTGATCTTACTGGACTAAGAGCATACACTGACAAACTAAACAGTATGAAAAACCTGGTACATAAACAATATAAAAGGACTCAGTTCTATAATATACTTAATATAATGAAGAAACTATTCAGTCAGTTAATTATCTTATTTTATTTTTTGGGGAGGCGAGATGTAATTAAGTTTACTTATTTATTTATTTTTTTAGAGAAGAAACTGGGAATTGAACCCAGGATCTCGTGCATGCTAAGCATGTGCTCTACCACTTGAGCTGTACTCTTTCCCTCAGCCAATTAATTTTAAATTAAAATGAAGTTTAAAGCTATTTCAGTATCTCTGAAAGTAAAAGCCAGTAACTTTTTAAAATAGCTAGAATACAACTGATTTAGTAACTTACAACTAGCTCTTAAATAAAAAAGAAATGAAATAGAAAATATAAGAATGCATGCTGTACACCAGTAATTGCCATAACATAAACTGATTGCACTTTAATAAAAATATATTTAAAAAAAAAAGAATGCATTGCACAAAGGGTAAACAATGTTCAAGAAAACTCTCTTTCATATACATAATGTATGGACTGAGTTGCAATGTAAAAAGAAATGTAAAGTGTGTAACTATGGTTCACAAAGTTTGAGAAACACTGCTTTAAAGCAGTGAGTCTTAACTGTAGCTTTGTGACACACCAGTAGCCAATCTGCCCAAAAATAATTTTTGACTCATTAATTTAACACACTGTAATTAAATGTTTTTTAAAGAAGTAAAACATTAAATCATACCAAAAAATGTGTACAGGATGTTTCTGAAGGGTAAAAGACCATCATGTAATCCAATGGTAAGGTCTCATAAGGTCAAAGAGATTAATAATCTGTGCTCTAGGACAATGGATTCAAGGCAATGTTATTTCCAACCTAATATAGCATTATCTTTGAATAATTTACCTCTTCCAACTTAACAGATATCAGTTATTAAAGAAACAAAACTGTTCTTGCAGAAAGCTTTGTTATTCAAAATATCCCTCATGTTTCCAACATCTGAAGGGTAGTCACTTCATTCTAAACAAACAACGATGAACTATAAAGGACTAGAGATGATTTTCCTATAAATGGCAACCAGGAAACTTTTACAAAGCATGGTAAAATCATCTATAATCTTCAATAAATCTTGCATGTACAAATATACTGCTATAAATGCTTCATTTTCATCCTGGTTTTCAAAAGAATTCATGTTAAAACACTTTTGACAAGGAAATAGACTTTTTTAGTTTCCCACAATGGCAGCTAATTGGAGATTCTTAAATCTATTCTGCACAATATTGCAAAATATAGCATTCATTACAATTTTACTTTCTAAAATACATTATATAGTACAATTCTGTAACAGAATTTTCTCAAAAGTTAAGAAAATCTATTTCTAGATCTTTCGTTTGGTTTATATGTTTAGCCATACTGAAACTTTCAGACTGTTTCAGAAGAATTAAATTTTTAGCATCTTTAAAAACAAAGAAAGCTATGTGGCATACCCAGTTCACACTGCAAACTCTTAATGCTAAGGTACAAAATATTTATATTGCTTCTAGAAATAGAGTAACTAATTTTTGGCAGTCGAAGGACACACCCAGTCACTATCAAATTACCATTTTCTGATCTTCATAGCACTTATCCTTACTTGAAATTATCAGTGTGTCTGCCCTCCCAAACACGTATATAAATTTAAGCTCCTATCTTGCTTACAAAATATTCCCAGCACGTAGCATAAACTACAGCACTGAATAGGTCTTCAAATATTAACCAAATGAATATTAAATATCATCAAAGATAGGACAGGCTTCCTCACAATACAAAGTCCTTTATCACTGGGGAAGACCACTCATCATTAAGAATAAGAGTTTGGATAAGATCATAAATTCATTCTAAAAACATATGATCTTGGGGGGTGGGAATAGCTCAAGTGGTAGAGCACATGTTTAGCATACATGAGGTCCTGTGTTCCATCCCCAGTACCTCCTCCAAAATAAATAAATAAACCTCCCCTCTAAAATAGCAAAGAAAAAAAATGAAAGTTTAGTAGCCATGTCAATACACAATAAAGGAAGACTATTTAAAAAAATATATTATCTTAAGATTTTTTTTTAACTTTTAAAATATTTATTTATTTATTTTTTGCAGGGGGGATGTAATTAGGTTTATTTGGTTTTTTTCAATGGAGGTACTGGGGCTTGAACTAAGCATGTGCTCTACCACTTGAGCTATACCCTACCCCACAATCTTAAGATTTTAAAAAATACTACAGCACCCAAGCAGCAAGTACTCATTAAAATAGTTACTTCAAATTTTTTCCTGTCTTGATTTCTTAAATTCCTGTAATACAGTTTACTACTGTAATAAGAAAAAACATAACAATTATTTTAAGAGACAAATCAAACAAATCACCATTCAATTAAAAAATAAAATAGTTTCTTTTCTTTTCAGTAAGTACCTTTTCTTGAAAGACAACAGCAGTTTCCAGCCCTGGCATGATGTCCAGTAGGAGTCTGCAAGCTGCAGTGTTTAAAGGTGGCTCTCGGCTTGTCATCACATATGCATTCACCAGCTGTAAAGAAAAGGGATACTTTTATCTGAAATTCAATCCAGTCAACTTAATGAAGTCTAATAAATCCTTAATACAGTTCCATCGCTTGCCTAAAGTGTACTAAAGAACACTATACCTATTATTACTAATTAAACCTTTAATTAGATAAACAAGTTCATACTGTTTAGCACAGGGAACTATATCTAATATCTTGTAGTAACTTATGGTGACAAAGAATATGAAAATGAATATATGTATGTTCATGTATGACTGACACATTGCAAATTGACTATACTTCAATAAAAAATATATACAGAAAAAAACCTTTAATTATTATAGTTATGATCCTGCTGAGCCATAATATCATATATAATTTCTTCTTCAGCTTTAAAGCCAAACCTCCCCCTAAAACAGTAACTCAGCAATCACAGAAATTAAAGATCAAAGGGTATCACAAAGAAATCACCCCCCATCCTCACGTACACTTTTTCAGAAGGATAAAGCAGGGCAAGATGAGCCTCCCTTAACTACCCCCATTTTTAACAATGGTTAACGAAAAAGTTGATTTTCATATTTTATATTTATAAATGAATGTATTAATAAAACTTTCCTTTTGGCACTCATCAAATATTTACTAAATCCCTACTACTAAGTGGTATTGTGTTCTGTTGCTGGGTGTACAATTCACTGTTGAGTGAATAAGACACAGTCCTACTATCAAAGGATTCATAATCCAACACAGGTGACAGCTGGGAAAACAAGTATCTACCATAAATTCGGGATGCTACAGAAGCCTATGAGAGGCTCTACAAAGGCAAAGATCTCAGAGAAGGCTTTAGAGAGGAAAGGATTCTAAGCAAGAACATAAAGGACAAGCAGGAGTAGCTAAGGAGGAGTTGGAAGGAGAGGAGGGCCAAAGGGCAAGAACTGAAAATTGAGAGAACAAAGGCCAGAGACAGACTGGGTTTATAAACCAAAATAAGAAACTTAAAATTTATCTTGACGGCAATGAGAAACCACTAATGGATTTTAAGCAAGAGAGTACCATGATCACTTTTTGCATTTCATAAAGATATCTGGGCTACAAAGAATGGGTTGGAGGAAGACAAGAAGAGAAACCAACTAAGAGGCTATTGCACTAATCAAGAGAGAGATAGTGGTGGCTAAACTAAGGTCTGGCAACAAGGGCAGAAAGAAGTGGAGGGATTTGTGAAGGTTAGGGGAAAGGAACAATAAGACCTATAAGCTCACTGAATAAGAAAGCTTACAGGAATAAAGGATAACTTCTAGCTGGTTGAAAAGAACACCATTACTGAGCTAGAGAACAAGAGAAACAGACTGTGGGGCAAACAATTAGACATGCAGAATTCAAGGTGCCTGTGGGAAATAACCACGTGGGAATGTCTAGAAGGCAACTGGAAGTGATATGAAGCTGAGAAAAGACACCAGCAATAAAGAAATATAATTAGGTATTAATATGATACAAATAATACTAACAGCTAATAATTACTGAGCCCTCATGTGCCAGGTTCTGTGCTATGCATTTTTCATGCTTAATTTCATTCAAAGATTACAAAAACATTTTAAGGTAAGAACTGTCAGCCTTATTTTATAGATCAGGGAAATAAAGCTTGGAGAAAATAAAGCTGGAAGAAGCTTAAGTTGCCTAAAGATCAAACTGTGAATGAACAATGGAGCTGCACTTCAAGCCAAAACATGGACCCCAAAGCCCATGCTCTCAAGCATTATGCTATTCCACATCCAAAAACAAACCTAACAGCCACAATGTACTGAACAATTACTATGTTCAGGAGCTGTAAGTAATACATATATATTTTCCCCCCTCATTTACTCAACAGACTTAAGTAAGGCACCTTTCTCTCCCTCCACATACCCAATGCACACACCGATACTGTCAGTGCAGAATCATGCTGCACACAACACTCATTTTTCTATTCAGGAACCCAGGAGGACTCCTATATCTCCAAACTCAAAATCATCTTGCCCCAGAATGAGCACAGATGCCTTGGGAACCCTCGCCAATATTCAACTGAACAAACTACACACCAAAGAGAAAAAACCCTGGCCACAACCAGGACTTTGGTAATAAAGACGTCCATGATTACTCTTATTTAATTGAACCAATACCAAATTTAAAAATCTACCCAATCTATTCCCAACTTTGGAAAGGGTTCAGGAGAAAGCAAACTATTTACAAAAAAAACAATAAAAGTATAGCATCTGGTGATGATCTCTGGAGAAAAGTAATAAGCAAACCTACTGCATTCATGAAATCATCATTCTTGAAGAGTATTCTCAGCAAGTGGCCCAGCATACACTCTGGATCAGCTCGACCTACCAAAAGAAGAGGGGAGGAACAAACAAAGGAATGAGTAAGTCATCCCAGTCAAGCAATTTAGACCTCTGGAAAGGCACCTGGGTTGTTCAAGTGTTTTTAAAAGGTCAGCAAAAATAAATAGAAACAAAAGATTCTTTTGATGAATTAGATTTCATAAGAAACATTTTTTAAAATCAAGTGACAATAAAAAATTTGAGACGCTGCTCTCTAACCTTCCCATTATCCAGCATTTGCCTACACATCAATGACAAATCAAATAAATGAGCACTAGACCCAGACCAGCATCACTAAGAGTATACAAAGTCTACAAAAGAATCATATGGGGGCCTAAGAGACAGAAAAACCCCAATTTCCCAGCCAGAGAAAGGAAGGAAGCACAGCTTCTTTTTGATGGGTGGCCTGGAGAAGACAGGCTCCAAGCCCAATCTCTCTTTCAACTATAATGCCAACAGCAGCAGAGATGTGTCCTCAAACCTGTAATGACACCCCAGGTTTGGGGGAGGAGGGGAATCCCACCAAGAAATCACCAATTCTAAAGATATAGTAACATTGGCCATTTTAACTTCTGAGCTCCTGCGGAAAGAGAGGAGGCCAGGAACCCAGGATTTACTCAACACATAGCCTAAAAGTAAAAGAATTAGTTAATGGTCGGGAAAATTCTTGGTTTGCTTTTAAAACAGATACCATACATTTAATTTTCATTTCAGAGTGACAAATTTAGTCAAAGGATACAAGTTAGGATGAAGAAAAGATGTAAACTGCTGATAAAGTTTTTACCAAGCTGTAATGAATATTCCAAATTCACAAAAACAGAAGTTAGAGAACGATATTATAAAAACAAATGAGGATATCAGATTACCTAACTTTCTCTGTTTATAAATGATAAAACTGAGACCTTCATTTTTATTAACAGAAATTATGCCTAATGACAAATATTGCTTAACATAAGAAGTAGGGAGGAAAAAAACTGTCTTTAAATTTCTACTGAAAAAAGGCAGATCATTCTGACTTTCCTTTCTTACTTGTTACTATTTCATCCTTTCCAAGGCAATGCACTAAGCGTAATTATCTTTTAATTCTTTTCATAACCCCGTGAATTAACTTCATTTCTTATTTCATATTCACTTTCATATTTCTTCATGCTATGATTGCCTTACTGACGATGTGACTTACACAGGTAAATAGTTCTCAAAATCACAAGTAGGGATGTCTAGCACAAGAGCAGCAGGTAATGTCACATAAACAAAGGACACTCAGTCTGAAATGCATAGCTTATTCAGATTTGAGAATAAAAGTCCAAGAAATAGAAATAAACTCTGGAATATTCAGGTAAATATACAATGCTTTTATTTTTATAGGTCCCACTCTTTCTATTTCTCCACATACAAAATTTCAGACTCTTGACTCATAAAGAACTGCTCTGGCTTTATAAAGAGAAAGTTTATATGCAGTGTGGGCCCATTCCACTTAAGCTTTGTCCCCTTATAATCTACCTTAGAGAAAACATAAAATGGCAGTCTCAAGTCCCATATAGTTCTATATTATAGCAAATTCCATGCCGAAGCAGGCTCGGTTGTCATGGCTCTAATTAAATTAGCCCAAAATAAAAACACATTAATATAGATGGCATATATTAGCTACTGAGACACTAAAATAGTCATCAAGAAGTCTGTTTATTATTCAAGGTTCCAAGTATCAATTTTATAACTAAACGCAAGGCACTGAATGCATTCTCAACCACATTTCCCCATTAGTAAAAGGATAATTACCACTGTTAGAAAGACAAAGGCACAGAGGATAACATTTTTTGGTTTAAAAGTCAAAGAGGGAAGATATTTTTCTCTTTTTAAATCTTTGTAATCATATCAACCGAATCAATAAGGTATACTTAATACAATTTAGTTTCTTCAAGTTATAACTAACTTTTTGGTAACTCCTTTTTGATACATAAATATTTAAAATACTTCAGTTTTTCCAGGAATTTATTTTTCCTCACTGCCCCTGCCTTGAGCAATATTTTAACAAGTAAAAGGTCTTAAAACTTAGCATGAAAGATGTTATTTCAATTGAAAAATAGTCCCTATATTAAGCAATTTTTTGGTATGAAAATTAGAGCCAGGTTTAAGAGAACACAGGTCTCACCAGGATGTCGATCATCAAATGGGTCTGGATCCCCCTTACGATATTCTTCAGTTTCTTTTTCAATTAATTCAGACATCCTAGCACAAAGGGAAGACAGGATCAATTCTAGACAAGCATACAGAAAAAAAAGTACCACCATCTGCAATAATCAATTCAACAGTCAAGACACAAAATAAAAGCAAAAAGTCAGAAAAAGGGTATTTTCCTGACGAACATAAAGATCTATACATCATCTTATAAAACAATTTCCACTCCCAAATTCATCCTTCTCTCCAACTCTGTCTCAAAAAAAAAAACTACCACCCCCTCAGAAACCAAAAACCTAGGAGTCATCATTAAAGCCTTCCTTTTCTCATCCCCCACAACAGAAATTTCTTATGAGCTCTACCTACAAAGTATCTCCTGACTTCAATCATTTCTTTAACTCCTGACCATTCCTACCTTTGTCCAGACCAACTTTATCAATTTCCTGGACTATGTGCAATAGACTTTCCCCTGGTCTCCTTGTTTCTTGCTTCTATGCTTAACCTGACACAATTCATCTCCAACCTCCAATGACTCACTACAACAACTTGAATTAAACCCAAGCACTGCCATGGTTTACACTGGCTTTTGTCTGCATCTCTGACCATTCTACTCCTGCACTCTTCCTTTATTAAGCTGCAGCCACATGGCCTTCCCTACTCTTCAGAGTCCAAATTCATAACTGCTTCAGGGCTTTTCTAGGTTACCTCAGCCTATAACATTCTTCCACGCACTCAAGCTCCCATCCCCGCCCCAAGCAACAACTCATCTGCCTTTTCTCACTAAAGATCATTTTTCCTGTTTTAGAATTTCACATAAATGGAATCATATATACTCTTTTTATGTCCGACCTTTTTTTTATCCATTTTATTTTTTTCATGTTATTTGGGGGGGGGGTAATTAGGTTTATTTATTTATTTTAATGGAGGTACTGGGGATTGAACCCAGGACCCCATTCATGCTAAGCCCAAACTCTCCCACTAAACTATACCCTCTCCCTTACGTCTGGCTTCTTTCACGCAGCACATTGAGTCATCCATGTTGCTGCATGTATCAATTGTTCTTTTATATTCACACATTTTTTGGAAATAAGAAAAATCACTTATTGAGTACCCTAAGCAATACTGACATTTTAACCTATTACAATGACAATCAAATACAAGGCTATCATGCTCTCCAGTATTCAGCATGCTCTGTTCCTACTCAAACTCTCCTATGTGCTTTATTTCCATAAAACCATACTTCCTAGTCTTAAGGATAAAGCTCCCTACAAATTCTTGCCCACTTTGGTATATTTTTCTCCATCAATCTTCAACAGTATTTCTACCTTTTCTACCTTTCCCCCTAAACCTGAAAATTCTCTTTGCCACAAAGGGTAACCAAACAAAACATACTTTAAATTACGTATTATAAGATCTACTAGTATCTCAGCAGAAACTAGGCAATATAGCATAGCAGAAGTTAAAAACATGGATCCTGGAGTCAGATAGCCAAAGTTCAAGTCATACCTCTTCCACTGTTTGTGACTTTGGTCAAGTTACTTAACCTCTCTGCGCCTAATCTGTAAAATGAGGGTAACAGTCTCTATCTTATAGTTTCCCTGAGGTTTAAGTTAATATATGTACTTTGCTTAGAACAGAGCTTGATATCTCAGAGCTATTTAGGTATTGTTCCTATGAAAACTGGGAATCAAAAACAAATAGAAAACCAATTAATTAAAGGTAGATATTGACTGAGATAGGGCAGGAAGGAGACATCTGGAGGTGGTACTCATGTTTTGTAACTTGATTTGGGTGATGATTTCACAAGTAAAGAATCCATAAAGCAGAGCACTATATAGTATATACAGTCACTCCTCGGTATCTGCAGGAAATTGGTTCCAGGACCCCCCCAGGGATACCAAAATCCTTGGAAACTCAAGTCCCTTATATACAATGTCACAGTACCACACTGGCCCTCCACATCCACAGATTCAAGCAACCATGGATCAACTACAAGTTGTATCTCAATAATATAAAAAAAAAAAACCCACAGAACCCGGGTTAAGCTCATATAGCTTGGCCCAATGCCAGTCCCTTTTCACAGAATCAAGTCAAAATACTTGATTATAATAAAACAACATAAAGAATAAAAAGTCAATTAAAGTTATAAACAGTTGTGTATTTTTCTTAGGAAAATGGCCAAAAAGATAATTAAAAACAGTAGTCAATAAAAGAGTAGGTAGGCCTGAAATTCATTTGCTTTCATGGAATACAACAAAACACCCAAATCCATAGCCAGCTGGGGAAGGGGGGGAAGGGGTGACAGATGTGAAGGTACTTGAGGAAATATCCAGTGAACAGACCCACAATTTGGAGGATGGTAGCAGCTGCCCCTCTCTAAAACAAACTATACTTTACTCATCCTACTATCTCTTAAAGTCTCCATCTAACCTTGAAGATCTTTTTAAGAGCCTGTTCCATACAACGTTATCTTCCATTTCTACTTTATATTAACCCTCCACTCTGGTGAGGCCCATTTCTTCACTACCACAAAAACATGTCCCAGTTCATTCTTCCCTGGATGCCTTTTTCAGTCACATTTTCACTTTTCCTAGAAAACTCTGTCTCTGCATATCATCAAGCTATATTCTACCAACTTTCAAGTCCTTGTTCCAAGGAATCTTTACCACAGCCTATAACTGGAAAGCCCACCAGAAATGGAGTTAAAACCCAGTATCCTAACTTTAGCTTTCCATTGCCCTACTACGTAGTCTTTTGCAAGTAGCTCTGAGGATGACTACCTTTTAACAATGTAGCTCTCAGTGATATTTTTAGTGACAAATGAGGAACCCAGGGTTCAGAGAAGTGTCTCCTACAGTTCTGACACACAAAACGTCCTCAAACATTTGTTGAATAAAAAAACTGACTCATTCAAATCTTTCCATTCTCTTAGCCCCTGCAGTATTTACAAACCACACTGCCCAATCTAGCACTTCATTATATACTACTTGTACAACTGTGCATTGTTTTGTATCCATTGGTTGCCTCCCATATAGTTATCTCCTTGAAGACAAAGCCCCTCTATTTTAGGCTTTGCACTGCTGAATACCATAGCATAATTACAAAGTTCAGGGTCAAATATGATAATGAACATGAAATAATTCTGAAAATAAAACTGACTATTTTTAGGGTGCATGCTCAATATTTTTTGAGCAATTAAATGAATTACCACTAACATCATCATCTCCATTTATGACTCTCTCCTCCTTTCAGTTACATCAATCAATAATCCACATGTTAACTGCACAATACTTAAGATTCTTTAATTCACTGTGGTTGCATTTCAAGTAGCTTGTGATTAGTAGTTCTTAATTTCCAGTGCCTCTATAAATGATAATCCACTTTTCACCAGTCAGCAATAACTCTTTTCCTAAAAAAAAAACTGTAACTTCACATGTTCCCCATGTATCAAGAGCAGTTATGAACAAAGCATTTATCCCTATTTAAATGTTTATAAGATCAGAGTTCTCTTTATCCCTAAAAATAGATCACTGCATAAACAAAAAGGTTTTTCTCCACTGCTATGATATCAAAGATTAGATGTTAAAGTTCCCCTCCAGTGACCTCCTGCTTAGAAAAACCATGGGCATCCCTACCTAGCCTTTATTTTTCACTTTCTCTCCTTCTTAACACATTCATTCGATACAATTATGTCACACACAGCTTATTATGTACCAGGCATGGGGCAAGTCATTGTCTGAGGAGACACCAATAAAAAGGAGTAGTACCTGCCTTCAAAAAGCTTACAATTTAATGAGGAGACACATGTAAAAAGATAATTATAGTACAATGTGGTAATTAAAATGGGAGGGATTATAATATTTATATTCAAATGACAGGAGTAATTTAAAGAAAAAAAGGCGGAAGAGGCGGGTGAAGGGAGGGCCCAAACCTAGCAGGGACATTAAAATCAGAAAAGGTTTCACAGACATGATTTTTTTTTCCCCCTGCCATCCCTTTTACCCACTGGAACCATAAGTTTGCTCTCTATGTCTGTGAGACAGACATGATTTTTTAACTGCTTTCTGAAAGGACTAGAGCTTGCCAGGCAGATGTACCAAGAAAAAGCATTTCAGGCCAAAGAAACAGCAAATGTAAAGGCACATAGATGCTGGAAAACATGGTACTATTCCTTACTGAAGGAGAACAACACGATGAAGCAGGAAAAGGAAGTTAAGGGCAAATCACAAATGGCATCATAGGCCACTCTGAAAAATTTACACTTCATTCTGTAGGAAAAGGGAGCCAGAGAAGAATAATGAGCAGAGGTATGACAATCAGATTTGTGTATGAGAAAGAGGAATCCTTCAGCAAAGGAGATGATGTATTAGAAGCGGTAAATTGGAGACAGAGGGAAAATGCACACTGCCTAATGGGCCAGTCAAGACATGATCAATACCTAATGAAGCAAGTAGTAATGAGAATGAGGAAGAAGAGCGGGTAGAAATCCTCAAGGAATATCGCTTCTCGGCCTTTTGGCTAAGATCAAGTGTAGAAATCCTCAAGGATTAGAGACTAAGTTGTGCTAGTAGAGGAATACGCTGGGGAGAATGGTTTTCAGTTTTTAGTTTAAAACCATTTACATCAAGCAGGGAGTATAAAAGCACAAGCGGTGAATGACAAGGGAGGTAGGATAAAGATGATAAGCTCTATTTTGGACAAGGTATGTTTCAGGTGTCTATAGAATAACCAAGTAAAGATGTATACACCAAGCAGCTGAGAAATGGGTCTGAAATTTTTAAAAAGAGGGGTCTGAAGTAGAAATAGAGATTTGAAAGTTAACATGAGAATAATTTTTTAAATCATGGACAGAGAGAAAACTATCTAGGTAGAATATTTAGGATGAAGACAAAAGAGAATCACAACAACACCTTGGGGCTAAAACACTGGCAGAAGAACCTAGAAAGGAGAATGATGACAAAGGGACTGAGAGGAAGGTAAGAAATTTTAAAAGCTTCAATAAGTAGAGTAAGAAAGACTAGCTCTGACAGGGAGAAAATGGATTTAGAATTCACAAAGTGAAAATATTCTATACTATTTTCCAATTTCTTCTTAAAAAAAAAAAACCTTAATTGTTCATACCTGGTAAGGATAGGTACCATGTCCTGCCCACTGCCATGTTCCTTTTCCCACTGCTCCAGCAGGGTAGTGAGCTCAGCTTTCGAGTCCACATGTACCGCTACTGTAGTCATGGCTTGGCCTAAGGAAGCAGAAAAAAAAAAAAGAGAGAGAGAGAGAAACAAATGAACACAGGCAAATAAACCTGTCACACTTCCTACAAAAGGAAAAGTAAGGAGGGAGAAAAAAAGGGATGAGCAAGTAAGGGAAAGAATTAAAAGCAAAGGAAACTTAACCCTTGGACCCTGTAGATAATTTTATTCATTGCACAGTAGAAAAGCAGGGATTGGGAGCCCAGATACTTATTAAGTCATGATGAACAAGTCTTTTTACCTCTCTCAACTTCAGTTTGTTCACTGTCAAATGACAGGGAACTAGATCATAATCATGATTCTTAACCTTTCTAGATAAGGAATCCCTCTGAGAAGTGGGCAAAACCTATGGTCCCTTTCTCCCCTCAAAAATGCACATACGGGTACCCCCACATTTCAAAAGTTCACTTTATGCCCACTTTGCTTTTATGAAAGATCTACATTAGTATATGTTTTTGCTAAACCAAAGGAATCTGAAGAGGATTTTTGCTTTTATGAAAAAAAGCAAAAAGCAAAAAAAGCATTCAGCATGTTTTGCAGCAAACCATTATAAAGGCAGTGTGCACCCCAAGCACTGAGAGTGGCACCTCCAAGCTCCTTCCACAGGAACTACACTCAGCATCAAGCTGCCATAGCTTCGAACCGCTGTGAGCATCTGTGCTTTATCTCAATTTATTTTGTGTATCTGTTAGCAAGATATGTTCTAGGGTAACTGCTTCTTCACTTTACATCATTTCAGCTTAGGAAAAGTTTCACAGGAACACTCTACAACCTGCACCTTCATACCAAACAAACAATAATCCCACGTCTAGATCTTGAGGTCCAAATCTTTGAGGCCACAATTTTTTTTTAAAATACAGAATGCAGCCAAAAACTACTCCCAAAAATATTTTGTTCTTATAAGTCTTTGGGGGGAAAGCTCTATGAAAGATAAACAACACAACTCTGTTAATTAACAAAAGATCAAGTACTGAAGTAGATATCATTACCAGCATGAAAGTTGGGAAGGAATATTATAAACCCATTTGTCTTCAAAACTCCTAACCTGTCTCACAACTGGCCTCCTGGAAGAAAGATAAGAGACTGGAGAAAGGCAGAAAAAGTGCTGGGTTGAGTGATCAGCCCGGGATATAGAAGGACAGGGAGGTGAGACAGGCTTTAAAGAAGCCGCGTAAGACATCCACACGGGGAAGAGAGGTTTATAAGGGACTCCAAGCGGGATAAATGAGACCTGAATGTTTAGATGGTTCAAAGATCAACTTTGCCAAAGTAGTCTTCAGATCAAAATGTCAGATCCTGTCATGCAAAGTATGTATTTTCACAGAAATAGCAACCATTCCACAAAAAGTTTCACACCAGAAAGGGATTACTAGCTGACCTAGGATTATTGGTCATTCTTCTAAAGATATCTACCATAAGACCAAATAAATAAATAAAAGATGATACTACCAACTCTGTAAATTTTAAATACTTATGTTTTATACAGTTAAGACAATTTTAATGGTTGAGAGTGATTCATGTCACCTGGGCTACCCCTAACTCCAAAGGAGAAAAAATATTTCCAAAACAAAAAAATTAAAAGGCTTCTTTTCCGCAAAGAATTCACATTTTCAGTCTTTCTAAACAAAGTCATAAAAAAGAAATACTACAGATGTAACAAATTAATATGGACTTCTGACCTTACCTTGAGAAAACCCAGGCTGTAATTTTGACTGCAATCAATTTTGACTAATCTACATTTTAAAAAATTTATTTGGAATAAAACTTCAAAACTTATTTGGAATAATTATAGATTTACTAAAAAGTTGCAAGGATAGTTAAGAGAATTCCCATATACCCCTCACCTACTTCAGGTTCCTCTAATGTTATCATCTCATTTTATAGTGGTATGGTGTCAAAATTAAAAAACCAAACCTTGGTACATTATCATTAACTACACTCCAGACTTGATTCATATTTCACTAGTTTCTCCATTCATGTCCTTTTCCTGTTCCAAGATCTCATCCAGGATAGATCACATTTAGTTGTCATGTCTCCCTACTGTTCTCTGGTCTATGACCGTTTTTGAGTCTTCTCTTTTTCTTCATGACCTTGACAATCTTGAAAAGAGTGGGGCAATAATTTAATCAATTTTTCGGCAGTAAAATTTTATGCAGAAGTGAAAGATCTAGAGACTGGGCGAAGTAGTAACATAAGGTAACAGCAAAATTAATCTCCTAAAACACATCCTAAAAGTGCAAGAGAGAGAGAGAGACAGAGAGAGACGGCTTTACTGGTGAATTCCATCAAATATTTAAAGAATTAACATCAATCCTGGGGACTAGGCGTAGCTCAATGGTAGAGTCCATGTTTAGCATGCACCAGGTCCTGGGTTCAATCCCCAGTACCTCCATTAAAAAAAAAAAAAATCCTCAAATTCTTCCAAAAAACTGAAGAGAGACACTTCCTAACTTTTTGCATGAGGCCAGCATTACCCTGATACCAAAGACGACATCACAAGAAAACTATAAACCAATATGCTTTATGAAAATAGATGCAAAAATCAACAAAATACTAGGAAGATGAATAAAGTAGTATATTAAGAGGTTTATATACCATGACCAAGAGGGATTTACCCCAGGAATACAAGGGTGGTATGACTTCCGAAAATCAATTAATGTAATACAATACATTAATTGAATAAAGGGGGAAAATGATCATCTGACTGATACAGAAAAACCATCTGACAAAATTCAACACCCTTTCAACATTCAGTAAACTGGGAACAGAGGAGAACTTCCTCAATATGATAAAGGGCATTAAAAAAAAAAAAAACAGCCAACATTATACTGAATGGTGGAAGACTGAAAGCTTTCCCCTTAAAATCAGAAACAAGACAAGGATGCCTGCTTTTACCACTTAAACACTGTACTGGAGTTCCAGTCAGAGCATTTGGACAAGAAAAAGAAAAGGCATCCAAGGTGGAAAGGAAAAAATAAAATTATCTTTATTCACAGATGACATGACCCTATAATAAATCCTAACAAATCTACAAAAAAAACTATTGGAATTAATAAACAAATTAGCAAGTTACAGGGTACAAGATTAACATACAAAAATTAGTTGTATTGCTATACACTAGCAATAAATAATCCAAATATGAACTTAAGAAAACAATTTCACTTAAAATAGCACTAAAAAGAATAAAATATTAAGGAATAAATTTAACCCAAAAAGGCACCAGACTTCCATACTGAAAACTACAGAACACTGCTGTAGAAGACCTAAATAAATGGAAAGACATCTTATGTTCATGGATTAGAAGACTTAATATTGTTAAGATGGCAATATCCTCCAAAGCAATTAACCATCAATACAATCCCTACCAAAAACCTAATGACCTTTTCTGAATTAATGAAAACATCAATCCTCAAATTTATATGTAATTGCAAGGGACCCTGAATAGCCAGAACAATCTTAAATAAGAAGAAAGTTGGAGAATTCACACTTCTGATTTCAAAACTACAAAGTACAGCAATCAAAGCAGTGTACTACTCACAGCAAAGGAAACCATCAACAATATGAAAAGACCACCTGCAGAATGGGAGAAAGTATTTGCAAATGATGTGACTGACAAAGGATTAATATCTGAAATATACAAACAGCTCATACAACTCAATACCAAAAATCCACAAACAACCCAGTCAAAAAATAGGCAGAAGGCCTAAATAGGCATTTCTCCAAAAAGACATGCAGGTGGCCAATAGGCACATGAAAAAATGCTCAACATCGCTAATCATTAGAGAAATGCAAACTAAAACCACAATAAGGTATAACCTCACACCAGTCAGAATGTCTATCATGAAAAAGCCTATAAATAATAAATGCTGGAGAGGATGTGGAGAAAAAGAGAACCATTGTACCCTGTTGGTTGGAATGGAAGTTGGTGCAGCCACTATGGAAAATAGTACAGAGGTTCCTTAAAAAAACAAAAATAGAACTACCATATAATCCAGCAATCCTACTCCTGGGCATATGTCTGGCAAAGACAAAAACTCTAATTTAAAAAGACACATGCACCCCAATGCTCACAGCAACACTATTTACAATAGTCAAGACATGGAAACAACCCAAGTGCCCATCCACAGATGACTGGCTCAAGAAGATGTGATGTACATATGCAGTGGAGTATTACTCAGCCATAAAGAGAAATATTGTCATTTGCAGCAACATGGGTGGACCTATAGAATATCATACTAAGTGAATTAAGTCAGACAGAGAAAGAATTATCACTTTTTTGTGGAATCTGAAAATATATATATAACTTGACTCTATATATACAAAATAGAAGCAGACTCACAGACATAGGAAACAAACTTATGGTTACCAATGTGGAAAGGGAGATGGAGGAGGACTAAATTAGGAGTATGGGATTAACAGATACAAAACACTACATGTAAGATAGACACAATATGAATTTACTGTATGGCACAGGAAACTATATTCAATCTTATAACAACCTATAATGGAAAATAATCTGAAAAAAATTCACAAATATAACTAAATCATTTTGCTGTATACCTGAAACTAACACGATATTGTAAATCTACTATACTT